AACCAGGGCCTAATTCTTACTTTAACAAAAGTTCAGCAAGCATTCTTCTTAGGGAGGTGGGCCGGCCCAATTTGTTTATTTTAATTCCCATGAGCAAGCCAACAAGGCAACTCAAAGCTCACGGCTGGTCCATTTGAACCTCACAGTACGTTTTAATAGGAAGTAAGAAGGTTGATAAAAGGGAGATACAAGATAAGAGAGCAAAAGGGTTGTGTTTCAAGTGTGATGGTAGATGGGGGTTTAATCATGTGTGTCGGGCGAAAGAACTTAGTGTTTTGCTTGTACAAGAGGATGGGGACAAAGTGGAGGAAGAAGAGTTCACGGCCTTGGATAGACCATTGGTTGAGAAGGAGAAGGTTCCGGTTGAGATTTTAATTAACTCGTTGATCGGCATCACTAATCCTAAGACTATGAAATCAAGGGGATGATTGATGGTGAAGAGGTGGTGGTGATGATCAATCCGGGCGCAACACATAATTTCATTTCACGAGCGGTATTTTTGGAGTCTCATTGGGAAATGGGGAGGCGTTGAAGGGACACGGGTAATGCGCCGGGTGCGGCTTGAGTTATAGGGTGGAGTGATTGTGATGGAGGATTTCCTCCTTCAATTGGGGAGCTCCGACAACATACCTAGGGTTCAATGGCTTGAGAAGCTCGACGCCGTAATCACAAATTGGAAGCATTAAGAAATGAGCTTCACGGTGAAAAGGCAAACCGCCCACATTAAGGTTGATCCCTCCTTGTCTCGAACCGGCATTACCTTAAAGGCAATGATCAAGACATTGCGCAAAGAGAGAGGTGGTATTTTAGTGGAGTTAAACCAAATAGATGAGGTTGTAAGGGAGGAGACTGAGGAAGCTCCGGAGTTTCTAAGGGCAGCAATTGATGATTTTTCGGAGGTATTTAAGTGTCCTAGGGACTACCACCAAGCCGAGGCCGAGAGCATGCTATTATTCTCAAAGAGGGTAGCAACCTGGTGAATGTTAAGCCATATAGATATCCTTAATTTCAAATGGATGAGATAGAGAAGCTTATTGGTGAAGTGATGGCCACCGGAAACTAGTCCTTTCTCTAATCCAGAGCTCCTAGTCTTGGCACTAAAGGAAAATGGCGAAGAACCATACGAGGTACTTTAGGCATTCTTTGTGAAGCCCCTTGAGATTCCGAGAAGGTAACACTATCATCTATTCAACGCTACTTTCCTTCCATCTTGACTCCTCACAAATAGGGCATGAATTAGCATTTATATACTCTTTTCTATAAAGTATGCAATGATTGACACAAGCATGAATCTTCGCATAATTCAACCCAAGGTCTTTGTCTATTGTGTACTTCTTGGCTTCATAAGAGCTCTTCGGAAAGTTTGGGTCATAATTAAAGGCCTTTTGTAATGCAATAAGGAGCCCACTAAATGATTTTTCACTCCAACCCCCACTAACCTTAAGGTGTAAGAGAGTTACAATGAATTCAAGCCTTCAAAATGTTTTACAACCTGAAAATAGCTCCTCTTCTGCATCATTCATCAATCTATGAAATTTATCGAGAATCTTAGAACAATCTCCATCCCCTTCATCCCCATCATTCAAATGCTCCTCCGGCACTACATTTGTCGCATCATGTACCAAAGAAGCCATCTCTTCTGATAGAAGAGGATCTTCATCATATAACTCATTACCCCATTTCTCCTATGTCAAGGGATTGTTCCTCTCCATAGAATATTCATGGATTGTAATCCCTCGAAGGAGATGAACACGTATTGTCGCTCGGTCACGATCAAAGTAATTTCGACAATTCAAACAAGGACACCTCTTTTTATCCCAAGCACTAGGGTTAGTGTCCTTGAAAGCAAAATCAAGAAAGTATTTTAACACCATTTCGATAAGCCTACCTTTCAACCCTTGAACATGCATCCAACTCTTATCATTATCCACTCTATATCACATAAAACAATATATAAGTTGACACAAGGGAAGGGTGGAATAAAATATATAACTGTTGTCTAAGATATAGTTATGCAAAGAATGACACAAATAAAGTAAAAACATGTGGTTCACATTCATAAATAAGATCCGAGTTAGCATTAATATAAAATGAAAATACATTCACATTCATACATAGTATGTGCTGCTGCAGCAGTAGAAGACAATATTAAAAGAACAAATATACCATTAAGCACTTGTTTATATATTTTAGTTTATTAGTAACAAATAGTCTACCGAGGGAAGATATCACACGCATCATGACATCAATTGATCCATGTAAGATCCCTCAATCTAGTAAATTTTGTGGCACTATCCAATTCTTCATATTAAAACTTAGATGTATCATAGATCAACAAAGGGTATTTAAGACGGATTAAGTTTGGCTTGCTTAGAACGTTTCAAAAAATCTGGATGCTTACGCTTATTTATGAATTCAGCTCGCACATTAACCACATTAACTTCCTACATTAACCACATTAACTTCCTGATGGATAGGCAGTTTGAAAACTTGGTTCAATGTACCCCTAAGTCGGTCCCCAGCTTTTTTGTCAAAGTCTTTCCTAGCCTCAGCATCGAACTCAGGTCTTCAAGTATATGTACGCTACACATAACTAACATGTAAAGTTTAAAATTGTAACTCAAAATAGCATATTATACATAAATAATCTGTGCCAGACCTTGGCCTTTTGTGTTAGCCTAGCTGGCCTTTTTTGCTGAATGTAATGAGCTGTCTTCATATAAAAAGGGGGATTTGGGATTGGCTTAGTTAGGTATTATGTGGTAAGTGTATCCTTTACTGTTCTTTCTGATTTATTTTACAACAAGCAGCCCAACTTCCCTTATTTTCTTTACTGTTATTTTTGATTTATTTTACAAAAAGCAACCCAACTTCCCACATTTACTTTACTGTTATTTCTGATTTATTCTGCTCTTGCTTTAGTTGTGAGAAATCGAGTAAAAGCAGTAGCAATTCATTATAGAATAAAGGATAGTTCAGAGACCCTATAAGTAAAAAGTAATGTCTAATAACAGAGCATAATGCCACGTAGACTGATCTCATAAAGGAAGAATGAACAGCAGCAGTAGCACATCACAGCCCACCAAGTGACAGTAGCCCACCAAGTCACAGCCTTAGAGACTGGTGGCCTGAAGTCACCCTTGTAGTAGGCGTTTTTGCTGGAATGAAATCCATCCCTTCTTCCTTAGTTTCTTATTTCTTTAAAGTTTGCATTTTTATTGCTTGTCTTGTTTTATGGTGAGTAATAGTCTAGTTTGTTACATGAACACATAAATAATGTCTAATACCAGCATACAACCAGACATTGCACAAATATAGTTCAGAGACCCTGTATATAACATCTCAGGTTAAAAAAATAAATAAATAAATAAAAAAACACACAAACCTACAGGGGCTACAACTATATCAAGCATTCAGAAAATCACAATAATAGCTTTGAACAAGCTCTAAAAAGCACCACACCACAAGAATAGCTTTGAAAAACGAGGTTAAACTCAAAAACTCATCCTAAATAGAACTAAAGATAAGTGTCAGAAAAAAATGAACAAACGTTTCAATAAGATTGGCATAGAATTTGACACTGGTTATTTAGGCAATTAGTTAGAAGACAAAAGAAAGATGAGCAAGAAAAGGTGCAGTAGCTACCAACCCCAGCAAGACACAACAACAACCCGCAACACACACCTTAGTGGAGCAAGGGAAGCGGTCACTAGTTGGACACTAAAACACAAGCCCGGAGAATAACCTTTGGGAATTGTAATATATAATCAAAGAGAGGAGAGAGAGTAGGCAGGAAATGATTTGAGTTTTGATTAAAGAGTAGTGAGCTAAACTCACCCTAGCGCTTAATGGTAAATTTGGAAAAAGAAAACAAGGAACTTGCTAACAGAGTAAGGGGCAGAGGGAGGGGGTAAGGCTGAAGAAAGATTGTCATCCTAACAAAGGGTAGTGGCTAGAGAATATTTTATAATAGTTGCTTTACTGAAAAATTATGTTAAGAAAATGCTCCTATCATTTCTCTTTATTAATTAACGTGTAAGCTAACTAATGCAAATAAGGTTCTTTAAAAATCAAAGAAAAAGGTTTAAAGATAAGTGTATGATATCCACGGTTTGCATATGCTTATAGTGAAACAAGTAGAACAAAACTATCCTAGATTGCTACCAGTGGCGGATCCAGAATTTGATTTATAGGTTGTCCCATCATTGTCCATCGACCGCATATAATATCAAAAACTAGTCAAAGCTTGTATAATGAACAAAATAAAATACATAAAAAAGTTCATTTTATAAAGTAATGCAAATTCATATTACAACTAAAAAAGTACTAATTCTATTACAATTGCGCTCGACGAGTTTTCATGTTTTGATAACGATTTACAATATCATCCATGCTAACATTATAAAACAAATCTCTTTCTAGATAAGTAATCAAACAATCATTCAACATTTGATCTCCCATGATAACCAACAAGAAAACTACTTTGCACCGAGATAAAGATGTAAAAGCTTGTTATTTCATCACAATTCCTTTAATTTTGGGCCGAAGGAAATACATAACATTTCTATTAATCCAACTATCACAGAAATATCATACAATCAAAAACAGAATTAATGAACATCAATTTGAAAAGAAATCCAAATTCAACAGAGCCGAAAATAATAGCAATTTCAGGTTCAATAAACATGTTGCAATTGCTTAAATGTTAATTATTTACGGCTTCAATTTTCCTCACTCAACATGCAAATTAATTAAACAATTCCCCACCCAGCCCGACAGCCACTCCCCAGCCCAGCCCCGAGAGCCACCCCCTAACCCTGCACCATCACCAAAACCACCCTCCTCCAACACATTACACATTAGCAACCAAAATTGACTCAATTATCAAACTAGACTCCAAAAATTACGTTAAATTGAGTATATAGTGACAATTAAATACACGATTTACACTAGATTGTCAAAATTAATATTAGATGATTAAAGAAAAAGAAGCATCTAACCTTAGAGACTGCTTCAATGGAGGAGAGAAAGCTCAGAAAGTCAGAAGCCGCTTCAATGGACAATTTCGAGTACGCTTGACAAACCAAACCCTGCAACACAGTAGCAACCAAAATTGACTCAATTATCAAACTAGACTCCAAAAATTACGTTAAATTTCTTCGAGTATCTATAACCAATAGTTCAATTATCCAACTTCGTTGAACCCTAAATTGAATATATACTGACAATTAAATACACGATTTAAACTAGATTGTCAAAATTAATATTAGATGATTAAAGAAAAAGAAGCATCTAACCTTTGAGACTGCTTCAATGGAGGAGAGAAAGATCAGAAGCCCCTTCAATGGAGAATTTCGAGTACTTTTCAATGGAGGACAGAGAGAGGAAGGAGTACTATGTCCAGGGAGGAGAGAGAGAGAGTACGTACCGTGAAATAGATCTAAAGGGGAAAAAAGCAAATAACACGAGGTAATTCAAAAAAAAAACAGTGTGTTCTGGGACCCACAATGACTACATGTGGAGGAAACCTCATACATCAAAATGAATTAGTATTGGCACATAAGGCCTATGTGCCAACGAAATAAATAGGATGACATTTTTGTAAATAATGCGAACACGAGAAAAAGCGGTGGTACAAAATTTGATGGCAAAAAGTACCACTACATGCATAATGGTACATTAAATGTACCATTATACCATTAAGGGAGTGAAAAAAATAATAAAAATCCTAAAATGCCCTCCTATGTGATTGTGAAACACATAGGGCCTATGCGCCTATATGCACTCCATCAAAATATGCAGCTGCATATGAGATAAATAAGTGAAGTTAGTAAGATTGGGTAGCTTAGAAGTAGATTATATTTCTTAGGTCCCTATAAGGTTCACTTTGTAAAAGTTCTATAAAATTATACCAAACAAGAAAAGATAAGCCATAAATTTCAGGGGCTTCATATACAAGGATATATGTAAAAGTCAATTTTTGAGTTCTAAGGGTGGGTCAGAATGCAAGAATAAACTGCACCAATTGGATTTGAATTTTGAGGCGATTTGAGTTGCAGTAGTTAGAATAGGGTATCTAGTGTTAAGGAAAAATATCAGAAAAATTGAATAAAAATATTTTTTAGGGATTTAAGTCAATTTTTGTCAAGTGGTACAGTTGGAAAATCTGATAAGCATGTTCTGCTAGCAAGGGCTCTTTTCCTTGAAGTTTTATGCAATTTCTTAGCTTTGTTTTATACGTTTTTCTCAAATAGCTGTAGCCTATTTAAAGGCCTAAATTCATAAATAATATTCAGTTTTTCAATCATCTAAAACCCCCACCCCAACGAATAAGCCTTAGACCTTGGATACAAGTTTATTAGACACCTTAATTGAATTATATGAATAGATTTTGTACAGATATATTATAGTTGCTAAAAATTCAATGTGAATCACTACAAAAGACTTTAAAACATCAAACCAAAAAGATTCTAACAGTATAAAATCAAATGACATTACTCATATAACATCAAGGTAATTAAAGCAGCAAAAATTAAAAGCCTAAAACTAAAAGATAAAAAAAATTCTGAAACATATAGAAGTAGGGGATATATTATTAAGCACTCAAACCAAACAAGTAGAACGCACTTGGCTAGCAGCTTTGCTAGACATAGCCCTAGTCCCTCGGATGGCTCGACCATTCCGAGGCTAGGGCTATATTTTGTGACTTGTTGTTTGGTTGATTTTTCAGTCTCGTTGATTCCTAAATTCGACTCGACTTACGACGTCTATGTTCGTAAAAACTCTATTGACTCATTTAATCCTTTGGATAAATTCGTCGCTTCGGTTCGGTTACACGATTAGGTGTGACCCGCAGGGTTTAGTCAAGATTAAGCTGTAATATTAATTATACATTAATATTACTGATCGGAAGTGGCCTCCAACTAGGCATTCCGATCACTTGACCTCACTGAATAATTAGCTTCCTAATTAATTCCAAACCCTCTATTGTAATAATATACTTATTCGAAGGACACCATTCCTTTCAACTTAAACCCATAAAGGTAGTCAATTCATGCCAGTTGCAAACCCATTAGTAGAAAGATATTTGACATATACAATAACCTCAATAACTGAATATCACCATATAAGAAAAATATAAAATCAATCTCAACATATAAAACCAACTTCAAATTTAAAAAATAAAGACATCAAACAATTAGAAACAAAAGTATATATTCACAAATTGAGTCATAATAATAATAATAATAATAATACAATTTAAGCAATAGAACGAAACAATAACCAATTCACAGTTTTCCAACAATAAAGACAGATATATGCAGCACCAAATTCTTGAAATAATAGCAATATAATCACATCCAAATAGAAAAAATAACCTAAATTCACAGAGATATATTCCCATCCAAACTGTACAATTAACCTAATTAACAAAAATATTCGTAAATTTCAATTAAATTAAACAAAATAAACAATGTAAAAATCATACGATTAAGCTGTTTACATTTTGCAATCCCTAATCATAATTTGTACACAGTCGACTACAACTTTGAGCACGAGCACAACCAATTCATAAACTACCAAATTTAATCATAATTGCAAATAAATAGACAACAATTTCGAATCTAAAAAAATTGAAACATAACATTTTGAATCTTAAATATTAACAAGAAAAATCGAAAGCTTAACTCGACAAAAGTCGCATGCTATACAACAAATTTCGAATCCAAACAACAATTCAATAACAAAAACATTTTAGCAATTAACTAGCAATAAACCCTAGATTGTGAAATTGATAGTCAATATTTAAGAAGTACTACCTGAGAAGCCGCTACAATAGAGGAGAAAGCTTAAAGTCGCTTCATTGGAGGATCCAGAAAGCTCAAATTTGCTTCAATGGAGGATCGAGAAAGCTCAAAGTCGCTTTAATGGAGGATCGAGAAAGCTCCAAACTCGTTTCAATTAAAATCGCATTGTGAGGAGAGAGAGAGAGGGGTTTTGGAGTTTTTGTTTTGGGGTTTGTTTTACGTAGTACAATACTACAATAGAAGTATTTGTTTATTTGTGCAAGAAAGGACGACAAATTCTTTTAATTTTCCCTTATCGTTTATCAAAGAGGGCGATTAATTAAAGTCGCCCTTATTGTTTTATTTATTAAAGAGGGTGAAATTATTCAGTCGCCCTTTCTGATCAAATATAAGACAACAATCAATTTTTCGCCCTTTTTGATAACAACATAATAGGACGAGTTATGTATGCCTTATTTGATGGTTTATATCCCTTTATAATTCAATAACGGTGAATAATTTCAAACCCCATCATATTAAATTTTGTAGTCTTGCTTTTTATTTTTTTAGTTTGGATTGTTGTTCATCGCTAATGCATTTCCCACTCGCAATAGGTTGATAGTGGTAAACTTGTTTGTACATGGTTTATTTTGTAAAGAACTTAATTGTACTTTGTCTTTGATGCAAGTTGTTGGTATAGTCGTATAGTAAAAGCTATAATCTATTAGGTACCAAAATTAGACAAGATTAGGTTCATTAGAGAGTGATTATGGATCTAATAAATTGGAAAGGATTCAAATCTGATAAATAATTTTATAAAAAAAAAGTAGTCTTACAATTAATCTAGATAAGTTGTATGATGTAAAACAAATCAAACATATATGTACCGAAATTGGAATTAATCAGGAAAGATAATTATTCAGTAAGGTCAAGTAATCGGAATGCCTAGCTGATGGCCGCTTCCGATCGGTAACATTAATGTATAATTAATATTACAGCTTAATTTTGACTGAACACTTCAGGTCACAGCCAATCGTGTAACCGAACCGAAGCGACGAATTAATCCGAAAGATTAAATTAGTCGATAGAGATTTTACGAACTAAGTCGTCATATACCGAGCTTAGAGCGTCAAAGCCGAGTGTCGAAAGTCGAGTCGAATTTATGAATTGACGAGATGGAAAAATTATCCAAACAACAAGTCAAAATTATAGTCGTAGCCTCACGAAGGCCTAGCCAAGCGTGGGCTAGGCTTTATAGGGCTGCTAGCCATAACCGCTAGCAAGGTCGCAATCCCAGCAGCCCCATACGGGTGCTGGCATGGGCTTGCTGACCGAGCTCGCGTGCTAACAGTGCTAGCAAGGCCAGCCGTAAGCTAGCGTGCTGGGCCTCACTAGTTGTTGCTAGCACCAAGCATGGTGCGCGACACAGTAGCAGCGCCCAGCAACAAGCAGCCGCATGTGCGTGGCTTGCTGTTGCGGGAAGGCCCAGCTGAGGGAACCGGGCGCCAGCATGGCTGCCTTGATGCCCAAGGCTAGCTGCCACTTGGTGACTTCCCATTGCACGTAGCCATTTGAGAGGAATAGCTTGGGGAGCAAGGGAGGTGTGGTCCTCACCTAACCCCTTGCTCTCTTTGTGCCACTTGTTGTTTGTTGATTGTTTTGCCTTTTTAATTTAATTTAGAATTAAAGTAATTCTCTATTTTGGAAATTTACCAACTATCCCACATTAAAAGATGATGGGAATTCTTGGGATCCTTTCCCTATAAATACCCATCATTGGCCATTGGGTATTGGGAGCTTCACTTGAGTTGGTGAATACAAAGGGATCTCCGAAAGCGAGAATGTTGGGTATCGTGATGTTCGACACCACGCGGAACTAAAACCCATCCCATGACCCGCACACAAATTAAAGCAACTAAAACATGCATATTAATTAACAACATAATTAATAACATAATTAATTAACAAGAAAGAGAAAGACGGATATACCCTTGACGCGTGCTTCGCTTGTCTTGAGCTCTTACTTGAAAGCTTACGAAGCTTCGTACTCGCGATAGCCTCCGACGACTCTCACCCTCAAGACCGACCCGAACGGCCCCTACCCCGGAGCTTGGCTGGGGCTAGACCAAGAAAACTAGAGTATTAGAATGAAAGTGTTCTCGCTTGTGGAGATCCTTTCAAGTTCACAACTCAAAGTAAGTTTTCCAATTTCCAATGATGGGTGATTAGGGGATTTTTATCCACCAAGCACCGTTTGACAAGTGGACCAACCAGGTTCCGCCACGCGTCCTCCATGGACCACTTAAGACACGCCACGTGTCCACCCATGCCAAATGGGACAACCGGCCATCAAGGCCCATTTCAGTCTAGAAGCCCGATCGGCCCTAGGTTTACCTTAAACCTAGAGAGTTGCACGCTTCCCAAGGCTATAAATACTCGATTAATCCTCATTAATCAAGGGACCGAATAATTAACGGAACACACTAATAACCGGCTGATCTCGCTAGCAAAGCAGATTACCTTCATTAA